AGCATGGGGACCTTTGGGGAAAGTTGAAGGTAGGAGTGGAGAGGCAAGGAGGGGAGCAGAGAAAAATATAGAACTCAATAAAAATCAATAAAAAAAATCCAATGGAAAGACAGACTATTCGATAGCTTAGGTCAGTGCAGCTCTCAGCAGGTTGAAAAGAAGCTCAAGTTTTCTCCCGTTGTGTGCTAAGATCCAAGCTAAATATAAAGGTTGAGAAAAAATGGTTTGAATATTTATCAAACCGCTAAAATAAGGATTTCCTAAACTAGGGAGTAATAATAATTTTCAAAAGAAGTATTAACTACATTTCACTCCTTTTATTGAGAAACTGTTTAAAAAATGAGAAGGCACATTTAAAAAAAAACAGGAAAAATATCTTCAGTGAAAATGATGGGCTTATATAATGTTGAATACATGACAGTATTTTTAAACTGTGAACAAAGCTCAGTCAATACCAAGTAGTTTAAGACACTCAGGAGGGAGAGGCAGACGGATCTCTGTTAGTTCGAGGCCAGCCTGGTCTACAAGAGCTAGTTCTAGGACAGGCTCCAAAACTACAGTGAAACTTCCTCAAAAAACAAAAACAAACAAACAAAAATGTAACACATTAAGAAACAGTAGGCCCAGATAATTTACACTCTCCAGGAATACATAGTTATGGGGTTTGCTTCAGTGGGATTTAAAGAAAGAAAAAACCTCTTATTATCCAAGTCAGTCTTGAGGGATTGAACTGTAGGATATGATAGGGGCAGCATGAGGTTATCATCCTGGTGAGTGAGTATTGCAGCGTGTGCACACAGCCTAGATGGTGGGGCTGACTGTCCACCAAGGCTCTCTCCAGAAGCACTATAAACCCGCTAACAGCTTTGCATTTCCTTGTTATAAACTAACAAGGAAACGTGTCATGTGACTCCCCTTTTGTTCCACTGCCAGTGCTTCTGGACAACAGAGTCTCATCTATGTGACTGGAGTGTGTTCCACGGGACACCTCCTGGAGGCCTTGCCTGTGGCTGGCTTACTGTTGACTAGTTTTCCTTATGTTAGTGGAGTACAATCTCAAACACTGACACAATAGAGAACTACACAGCCCAGGAGCGGTTGTGTGTTATCATTGTCAGCGTTGTGCGCTGGGCAGAACCCCATCTCCTGTACTGTTGAGCAGTTAACTCAGGCTCATTCACACCAGCAGCCCCACAGATACGAGTCACATGACACTATGCTCTTGTGACATCACTAGAGGACAGGAGTTCTCCAACCCTGTTATAATCTTTCGTGACACTCGGACAGAAGTATCATTGGCACGTGACTATATATATAAATCCACAGGAAAGCAGGAGTTCAGAAGGAAGCCCCTTGTACCATGTGTCCTGGCTTTTCCCACAGTAACATTCTCCTGCTCACTTTGTCATAAAGAATATTCAGTCTAATGAAAAGGAAAACTATTCAATCAGTTTCCTAAATTGTGGCATTAAAGAAAACAGTTTTCTTAAATATCGAACTAATTAATAATCCCATGTTTATCATTTGAAACATTTTCACTTCTGGAAATGGTTCTGAGAAATCATAAGGTATATGCAAAAGCATGCAATGATGTTCTGCAGTCTGCGGATGACTAGCGTTCTAATGCAGGGAGCTGAATTGCCCCTCTGTAACACACAAGTATAATGAAATAGCTGCCGGTTCAATTTCGTTCTTTCAGAGACTTCTTCCTGGCCTGGAAACCTGTTCACAGTGTAAAGTAAAACAAGACACATGATATGTACAGTCTGATCCCTTCTTAAAAACAAAACAAACAAACAAAACTACATAAATTTTTCCTAGGGGTGTGTGTGTGTGTGTGTGTGTGTGTGTGTGCCTGTTTTAAACAGGGTTTTTCTATGCATCTCTGGTTGGTCTGGAACTCACTTTATAAACCAGACAAACCTTGAACTCATAGTGGTTTTCCTGCCTCTGCCTTCTGAGTTCTGCAGTCACAATGAGTCACCATGCCCAGCTACACCAGTATTTTAATAGAGAAAAACATAGCACTATAACGAGTGATTGGATCTTTGGAGGGATTTATTTACTTATTTGCAGTTTTGTGTTTTTATCCGAAGAACACATTGCTGTTGGGAAAAGTTATTTTGATGCAATGTTGCTTGAGAAAATTTAATTATGTTTGTAAGTAGTGTGATTACAGTTATTACAAAACCAAATGCATGAATAAAAAGATAGGGGAGAAGATGTCCAATGGCTTGTAGCGTTGTTTTAGATTGATGGGATTTTGAGTGTTCTGCATCCCTTCTTTTTTGTACTTATTTTTTTGTAATATAAACGACAGGTAGACAGCCACTCCTGAGCTGCAGTGAGGAAATTACTGTGCTGAGCTATGTTCCTGTTTTAGTAGATAAGACCCTGTGGTCTTTAAAGTGCTATGCTGGAGGGTTGGTGCTACTGTGTCCTGGTGTTTGCAGTATGAGCTCTTCAGTAGTTGCTAAAAATTGTGGGACACCAAAATGAGGTAGGGACTAGAACCCCAGATCTGAAATGTTTCAAAGCCCAAACGTTTTTAACAACATAATATCACACGTGAGCAATTCCATATCTGACCTCATGTGACAGATGTCGATCTAAAAATCAACTCCCTAAAAATATTCTAAAAATACCCTCAAACTACATGTATAAGAAATGTAAGTAAGTTCATGTTGACACTTTGGCCCATCCCTGAGATACCTCATTATAGTTTTAAAAATCCATTTTGAAAGTGAAATCCAAAACACAGCTGCACCTAAATGCTTTAGCTAATGATTTTGAGCGCGGATTGTTTTCAGCGTTGACAAGTCAGGAAATCCTTTTGCTCCGTCAGTCCGGGGGGAGGAAGCTAGAGCAGGTATGTGTGGTGATGAATTAATGAGAAGCAAAGTACATAAATCATGAGCACCTCTGACCATCAGCGCCCACGGGAGATGCAGGAAGATTCTGGTGCCTGCAGGAACGTTTAAGGAGTCCTGTTGGGCACTGTGGTACCTCAACTCACCTGCCTTGTGCCTGCATCTTTGAAGGAGAGAGACATTTACTACTTTAGGAAAGCAACCTCCTACTATTCATGGGTGAAGTCTCATCGACACGGCTACCTCAACATGACCTGAGCCAACACAAGAAACAGGACACCTAAAGAGGTGATAGAATGGCCCAGGGAAAGCTCGTGGGGGCCTCGACTCTCGATAAAGAACTTAGCCTACTTAGAGGTGCCAGGAGCAGAAGGATCCCAGGAAAGAGGAGGCAGTTGGTTATCCAACATCACAGGGTTGCCCTGAAAACACACAGACAACTTGTGTTGCAGACTTGGAGCGCACGCACACACACACACACACACACTCACACACACACTCACACACACACTCACACACACACACTCACACACACACTCACACACATACACTCACACACACACTCACACACACACACTCACACACACACTCACACACACACACTCACACTCATACACTCACACACACTCACTCACACACACTCACACACACACACTCACACACACACACTCACACACACACACACACACACACACACAAATGACAACAGTTAAAGAAAAAGCCAAAAATTTGAGAGAGAGCAAGGGGGGTACATGGGAAGGGCTAGAGGAAAGATGAGGGGATGGTATAATTATATTTTAATTTAAAAAACTATTTTAGAAAAAAAGAAAGCAGTTGCCACACTTGGAGATCTTTATAAGGGACAGAGAAAGCTGGCTTTTGGAGGCTGTATACAGTATTTAAATCCTTACCTTGGGCTGACATAGAAAGACTCCAAGAGAAGAGGCATAGAATTCCCTCTGTTCCTAAAGTTAAAAGGACCCACTGCTGTTTATCAGTTAAAAAAACTGCTGAGGCCTCTTGTCTCAGTGGCTTTCCTTGAGCACAGCATACATAGATGAGATGAGCTGAACTCATGAGACCTTTGGGTATAACAGCATCTGCCTGAACCTCTCCTTTCCCCCTAGTTCAGTGACTCACTCATCAGATGGATGACAATAATGGAGCCACCCCAGCAGGCCAGCGAAGTACCTGAGCTGACTGGGGACTCAGGAGTCCAAGGAATCACCTCGTTCTAAATCTGTCCTCATCAAGGTCTAGGTCGTAGGAGTCAGAATTATGGTCTCCTTCTCCTCCACCTCCGTAGCACAGTGTCTGTCTATTCGTTCTGTCTAATGTGTATGGGCCCACAGGTCAGAAGCTTTGGCTAGTCTCCATGCTCCCCTGTGATTGGCTGAAGGCTATATGCCAATATTTGCTTGATTCGGTGAACAGGGTTGGAATTTTACTTGGAAAGCACATCCCTGAGTATCCAGGATCCTTCTAGATCCTTCTTCATGAGTCTGGAGGGTGGAGGAACAGGAGAAAAGAGCAGAGTATCATTCTGCTAAATTACAGAGTCATACCCAGGGCCTGAGGTCTCCTTCCCTTTGAGAGTCATTGTGGGTAAAGAAAGACAGGAAGTTAATCCCATTCATCTGTGAATAAGGGAATGATCTGCCTCTGTGGGCACCTCTGGACCAAAACACAGAGTTTATTTGTTAAGAGCAAATTTGGAAGCAGCCTGTTGGTCTCGGAGCATGCACTGGGACCCCCTGCTTGAGATCAGCCATGCGTTGAGGAAGAGTTTAGACTAAAAAGAATCACCCTGAGTGACAGGAATAAAAGGGTATGATTCAGTTTGGAGCCCTCCTCGTCCTCCCAGGAACAAAGCTGGTTTGTGCTTGAGGTTTGTGGCATGTGTCTGTCTGCACAGCGTTCATGCCCATAAGTGAAGCCTCCTTTGGGGAGAACTTCGTTTCCCATTTTGTTCTTCGTGAGGCTCGCTTCTCCTTTGAAGCGACCTCTGCTTCGTGCCGCCCGTGTGCGTGGGCCTGTGACCCGGTGTTTGTGCAGTTAAATCATTTGTGTGTTTTGTGTCTCTTGAGACTGTTCTAAATATATGCAATTTTCTTTCTGCTCCCCAACTAGGAAATCTCCGGCGACGAAAGCCGAGCCCTGGTGCATCAGCTCTCCAACGAAAGCAGGCTGTCCATCACCGACTCCCTTTCTGAGTTCTTTGATGCCCAGGAAGTTCTGCTTTCTCCTAGCTCTTCAGAAAACGAGGTTTGGATGCTGTTCTCAGTCATCTGCCCCACCCACCAGATCTCCTTTATGACCTTCTACCCCAAACTGCTCAGTAAAGATTTGTCAACGAATCTTCCACACCATTACATTCTGAGGGTCTGCTTGTAATGCACCCCCAAACACAAAGTGATACCATACACTGGGAAAATGTGGATCTCAGGGTGTTGGACTCTTGTTTCGGTTACTTCGGCTTTTTGCAGCTTCCCATTGCTAGTTGTGAATTCTGCCTGTTCATATACTTGCTTTATATCCTGTGTTTTTTAAAATCACGTTAATTTATGTTATAGATTTTATATCATTATTGTCAAATATGTTTATTATGTTAATCTATACATATAAATGTTTTAATTGGTGCATACATGCATACTTTTTGGAATAGGGAAGCTCCACAGAAATACAATATAAATTTGTCTACTAATTCCTATAGAAGAGTCTTTTCACAAACAAGTTGCTTGCTCCATTGTTCAAGTATTAACATGTTCTGGAAAGGCTAAAGGGTAAGAATTTTTATGATGACAACAGTAACCTTTGAGATTTTTTGTTTGCTTATTTTTCTTGTGAGAACCAAGAATATCTAAGAATGTCTTCCCTCCCTCCTTACCCCCTCCCTCATCATCTCTTTTCTCCTGTGCCTTGGATCAAACTTGGGTCCTTCACATCCCAGGCAAGCACTCCCCTGCTCTTCCAGCCTTAGCAGTTTATTTGTTTGTTTACTGTGAGCATTTCCCAGGTAGATAGAGGGTGTCTCATGAAAATAATACCCCAAGTGATTTCTGTGGATTTGTAATGTGAAACATAGCATGCTTGGTCATTTGGAGTGGGTTTTTTGAAAGGCTGACTCTCTCATTCTCTCTCTCTCTCTCTCTCTCTCTCTCTCTCTCTGTCTCTCTCTCTGTCTCTGTCTCTCTCTCTCTCTCTCTCTCTCTCTCTCTCTCTCTCTCTCATTGTGTTATCTCTTCTTTCCCACAGATTTCTGATGACGATTCCTATGCCAGTGACATAAGTGACAATCTGTCCTTGGACAACCTTAGTAATGATTTAGACAATGAAAGACAGACCTTGGGTAAGTGTTACATTACAGGATCTCTGGAAGCCTGTGACTGTATGTGCGTGTGTGAATGAGTGAGTGTGTGTGTGTTCGTGTGTATGTGAATGAGTGAATGAGTGAGTGTGTGTGTGTTCGTGTGTATGTACATGTGTGAATGAGTGAGTGTGTGTGTGCGTGTGTATGTGAATGAGTGAGTGTGTGTGTGTTCGTGTGTATGTGAATGAGTGAGTGTGTGTGTGTTCGTGTGTATGTGAATGAGTGAGTGTGTGTGTGTTCGTGTGTATGTGAATGAGTGAGTATGCGTGTGTGTAGGGCTCATGCCAACTTTAGGCGTCATTTTTCTGGTGTTGTCCACCTTACTTTTTGATACAGAATCTCTCAGTGGCACTGGAGGCTTTCCAGTTAGGCTAGGCTTGCTGCCTGATTGCCCAGGGATCCTCCTGTCTCTGCCTTCCAAGCACTGAGATTACAACTGTGCACCACCATGCCTGATTTTTTTTTTTAAACAAGGTGTCCATTGTGTAGCCAAGCATTTTCTCTGTAAGTGTAATATAGGATATGGTGTTCTTCTTCAGGTACTGGGTACTGTTGTAGTTTAAGGGTTCAATAGGGCATGTGTAACTGAAAAGTCTAAGTGATAGTTAGCTTCAGATTGCTCAGAAGAATATACTCCTACTCCTCTCAGGGCACCCTAAGATACTCTTTCTTATTGCTTAATTCTAAGAAGGAAAATGATGACCAAGAAAGGTATTTCAGGGACTGGCAAGAAGCTCAATGGGTAAAGGTGCTTGGTACCAAGCTTAGCAATCTGAATTTGATTCCTGGAGCCCACAAAATAGGAAAGGACTGACACCCACTGTAGTCATTAGGGGCAGCGGGGCTGCGTCCCCAACACCCCAGCCGCCTGCCCTGCCCGACTAGCTTATGCCCGAAATAACAACACACAAACTGTATTCATTTAATCACTGCTTGGCCCTTCTGCCCTAGCCCTTACTGGCTAATTCTGATATCCCGATCAACCCATCTCTAATAATCGGTGAGCACCGGTCTTACCGGGAAAGGTTCAGCATGTCTAACCTGGCGGCTTGCTTCATGGCGTGTGTCTGCCCAGGAGCCAGGAGCATGGCGTCTCTCTCAGGCGTCTGCTCCCAGGAGGAGAGCAGAGCTGTGGAGTCTCTGACCTCACTTCCTCTTCCTCCCAGTGTTCTGATCTGTTTACTCCACCTACCTATGTCCTAACCAATAAAATGGGCCAGGGCAGTTCCTTTATTAGCCAATGACCTTCCTCCATCAACCCACAAGTTGTTGTCTGTACACACACACACACACACACACACACACACACACACACCTTCACACTATGGCACATGAATGTCAAATAAATAAATAAATAACATGGTTTACAAAGAAAGGCATTTGATGATGTGAGTCTGAACTGTGGGGTCCCTAGACTATTGCACACTACTCCTAGCTTGTGACTTCAGGAAGCAGCATGGTCAGGTTAGGGGGATGCTCGTGGAGTGAGTCCATCAGGTCCATGGTCTTCTGCACAGGTCCCTTAACATCAGACACTCCCAGTCTTCACATCTGGTTACTCCCCATTGAATACTCAAAGCACCATCAACCACCCATTTTCATATCTACACAGAGGACAGGACCATGCCAATCCCTTTATTTCAGGGTCTCAGCTCAGCAAATGTTTCTGAGCCGTGCAGATGGGTTATCTCAACACCTCAGAGTCGCTGCTCTCAGGGCTCCAGAGCCAGGTGGGTAACCCCACCATCTACAAAGCCTCTATTCAGCATCACCCTCTGGAAGGAAGAGCCTTCGTGTACCCTAAAACCCAGTGAGTTAGAAGTAGAAGGCCACAGATAGGAATGCAAGTTGTTTTCTAGAAAAACAGAATGAAAAGGAAAATGAAGAAACATCACTTGCCCCCTTGGTGAGCAGTGAGTGGGATGAGCACTCAAATGGTGCTCTAGCTACAGAGGAGGAAGATGACACGTGCTGAGGCCCCTCCCCCATCTCCTGGAGGCTTTGGGGGATGGAGTCAGGGAAGAACAGGGTAAACAGGATACAGAGGTCAAGTTGGGGAAGAAATGATTGATCCAGGACATAGGCCGCAGTTAGGGTGCATCAACAGGAGCTGAGATGGGCGTGGAGGTGGTCGGGCTGCTTCTCTGGCTTAGTCCATGGCTGAGATGACCACGGAGGTGGTCGGGCTGCTTCTCTGGCTTAGTCTGTGGCTGAGATGACCACAGAGGTGGTCGGGCTGCTCCTCTGGCTTAGTCCGTGGCTGAGATGACCACGGAGGTGGTCGGGCTGCTTCTCTGGCTTAGTCCGTGGCTGAGATGACCACGGAGGTGGTCGGGCTGCTTCTCTAGCCTATCGTGTTGCTGTCTAGCTCAAACATAGCACCAGAACTTCCTTCATCTGAACTTGAGTACCAGAAACAGATGTCCCCAGTTCTTGGTAGACTTTCTCTGATGGTGACAGGGTTTCTAGACATCTGGAAAAGACACCTGCAGAAATAACCTTCATATCCTACAACTCAATTTCCCTACTGAGGAGAAAAGAGGTGAGCTCCACTCTGTCTGTGGGTGTAGCTCAGTTGGAAGAGTGTTTACTCGGCATGTGTGAAGTCCTGGATTCTATATCCAGCACCACATATGGTGTAGGGGGTCCTTCTGTTTGTGTGTTGCTTTCATTGGTTAATGAATAAAGAAACTGCCTTGGCCTAGTTGATAGGGCAGAACTTAGGTAGGCGGGAAAGTTGGAACTGGATTCTGGGAGGAAGAAAGCAGAGTCAGAGGGAGAGACATCATGGAGCCGCCAGAGACAAACATGCTGAATCTTTCCTGGTAAGCCACTGCCACATGGCGATATACAGACTAATAGAAATGGGTTAAATCAAAATGTGAGAGTTAGCCAATAAGAGGCTAGATATAATGGGCCAAGCAGTGATTTAATTAATATAATTTTTGAGTGGTTATTTTGGGGCTAAGCTAGCAGGTCAGCCAGGAAGAACAAGCGGCTCCCCTCCTTGCAACACCAGTAAAGTGAGGCATGATAGTGATCTCCTGTAATCCCAGGATTAGGGAAATAGAGGCAGCAGGGTCAGAAATTCAAGGGCATCCTTGGCTTTCAAGTCCAAGAGTTCAAGTCCAGCCTGTTGGCTATGTGACTCTCTATCGGGCAAGAAAATGAAAATGAAAACAGCCAATTTTTCTCCAGCTATTGCACTAGAACCCCCAGAGCACACGGCAGACCCTTGGTGTTCAGGGCACTTCTCACCAGTTTCGCTTCTTTAAAAAAAAAAAAAAAGCACAGGTCACATGGAGGACCTGTTGCTGTGCTGCAAAAGTAGCTGAGACCATGAGCTGTAGGGAATCCTTGAGCCCCAGCTCTATTCCTTGTTGGTTATGTGTGCTGGCCCCTCCTCTCTGCCTTACTTTCTTCATCTATAAAATGGGGATAATAATACTGCTTACTTCAAGACATATCCTACAGAGGAGGAAGAAGAATTCTGACATCCCAGAGTGAAAAGCGGAGTGTGTACAAGCCACCAGGAAGGTGACCGTGGTAGCCACCTTTCTTCAAAAGAGGGTCGCCATCTTTCTTCAAAATGTTAGACAAGTATATTCTCAGTTTGCAGTTTAGGGCATGGGTTATTTAACAGTGCCGAGATTGGCGCATAAGCACGTGCTCCCTTACTGAGGTACACCCTGCCCCTGAGCTTTGGTATTTAATTGCTCAAAATTCTCTTGCGAGTTTCAAGCTTTCCTTCCTATACTGCGTAACTGAGCGGGAGAGTGAGTACTTGCTTGGGAAGGTGCTACTCCTGGATTACTCCGCATGGTGAAACACAAACAAAAGCTTCCTGGAGTCAACCAGAGTTCTTTCCTTCCAGGTCCTGTTCTCGAAAGTGGAGGGGAAGCCAGGTCCAAAAGGCGGACCTGCCTGCCAGCGCAGGGCCCCAACACCAGTAGTGTCAGCTTGTGGAGCATCCTGCGCAACAACATCGGGAAGGATCTGTCCAAGGTGGCCATGCCAGTGGAGCTGAACGAGCCACTGAATACCCTGCAGCGGCTCTGCGAGGAGCTGGAGTACAGCGAGCTGCTGGACAAGGCTGCGCGCATGCCCAGTGCCCTGGAGAGGATGGTGAGGACCCACTCCCTGGCTTTGTTCTTCTGAGCCATTCTGAGGCCAGGGGCCTAAAGTCCAGGCTCATTTTGATTTAGAGATGGTCATTTCTCAGAAGATAGTCCTTGCCTTCCCGTGTGCAGTTACCTCAGAATCTGCAGAGGGAAAGCAAGGGGCCTCCCGCAGCTGGTGCCAGGGGGCTGGTGGCTCTGCTGTTTTTGTGCTTGCTCTTTCTCTGGAAGCTTCCATCTGATGGTTCTCAGAGGCTTGGCTGGAAAACATGGCTTTAGGCTGTCTGTGTTTATTTTTACTACCCTGGGTGGACAGAATTTAATTTCTTGAGCTGTTTCTCTCATCCCGAGTAAATTTCCCTTGAGAATGTTTTTGTTTATTTCTGGAATTGTCCCATTCGTTCCTACGTTTTTGGAAAATATCATTCACAGAGAGTGATTTTACACCATTACACCAGAAAATGACCCCACCCCACCACCACCTTTTTCTCTCTCTTATAGAGTTATTTAAATGAGCAACTTGGTTGGTAAAACTCTTAAATATTTGTTGTGGAAACTGTTCTTCTGGCTTCCTCGAATGTGCGCTGGTGATCAGTCGAGCCCTTGCCTGTGTGGGGAGCCGGGGCTTCAGTGCTGAGTTCTCTTGGTATTTGCTGCCTGGCTAAACTGGAGAGGAGTGTGCCTTTGGGCTTCACGGAACTAGCCGCCAACACCCCCACCCCCTATCTCCCCCCAGTCCACTCACCTCTGTGATAGAGGATGCAGACCCCTTTAAACTCTACCCAGCCTGCAGTTCTCAGGCTCAGTGAAGCTTCTTGGCAGTGGTGATTTGGAAATGAATGGGAACCTCAGCTCCTGGCTGAAAGAGACAGCCCCTTGTGCTGCCTGAACTCTAGGGCCCTCTCAGCAAAGAGATTTTCTCCCTTTGATGCTTATGATCATATGATTATAAATGCAAAAAAACACCAGCTGAGATTTTGCCCTTTTTGTTGAATTTCCCCAGAGAGTGCCTGCTGGAGACAGGGAGGCAGGAAGCTTCTAAATCTAGAGGTAAAAGTCAGCATTTATGGTGCTTTGCCTCAAAGAGAATGATTCACTTTGAACATGAAAATATTCTCTTTTGGGGGCTTTGGTTTTTTGAAACAAGGTTTCTCTGTGTATCTTTTGAGCCTGTCCTAGAACTTGCTCTGTAGACCAGACTGGCCTTGAACTCACAGAGATCTGCCTGCCTCTGCCTCCTAAGTGCTGGGATTAAAGGCATGCACCACCACCGCCCAGCAGATTCCCAGAACCCATATGGTGACTTGCAGTCATCCATAACTCCAAATCCAGGGATCCACCGTCATCTTCTGGCCTCCTGGGCACTGACCACACATGGTGCACACATACATGCCCACAAAACAGCCACATGCAAAATAATACAATTTTTAAAAGAAGGGAAGAAAATATTCTTAAATGTGTTTCATTTCTGTAGCAATTTAAAACCCTTAAGATATTCAACAATTGATCCCAGTAATTGACCTAGAACAGGCTTTTAGGGAAAGCATAGCAGTATACAACAGTAATCCCAATACTGGGGAAGCAGAGGCAGGAGAATCGGTGCATGTTGGGGACTGACTGGATGTATCCAAGTTTCAGGAATGCAGTATGTCTTGGAGAAGTCCGGTTAGTAATGTGTTTGCCGGGCAAAGACAAAGACAAGGACCTGGGTTTGATCCCCAGCACCCGTGTAACAGCTGGCGCAGCAGGGAAACTCTTAGCGCTGAAGGGCAGGTGGATTATTAGAGCTTGCTGGCCAGATGCTATCACCAAATCAGCGAGCTCCATGTCTGGTGAGAGACCCTGCCTCAAAAACTATGGTGGGGAGCAACCGAGGAAGATATCTGACGTTATTTATATCTCTCATTCCTATGAACATGCTTACACACATGCACTTGACACACAAACACACAGTTATAGATGACACGTATTTCAGTGTAGCAAACCTCATAGGATGCTCAGAGAAAAACGTTGAAACTGTTCCTATCTGGTATTAAAAAAAAATCTCCCACGTTACTACTTTCATATAACTTTGAGGGGGCAAAACAAAATTCAGACAAGAGATTCTGTTTCTGTTGAGGCTCTGAAGGAGACTCTGAAGAACATGCTGGAATCTACATGGTGAAGTTCAGAAGAGGATTTTACTAAACCCATGTGTGTAGTTTATTCTCCCTCCCCTTCCCTCCTCCCTCTCCCTCCTCTTCCTCTTTCTTCCCTTCTCCCTCCTTCTCTTTCCCCCTCCTCCCTTGTCTTCTCCCCTTTCCCCCCTCCCACACCTTCCTCCCCACCGTGCCTCTCAGTTTTCCCCCCAGAAAGGCAGAACTTCCAAGTGCTCTAGCCTCTTGCTCTGTTGCTTCTCAGAGCACAACGATGACTCCCATTTCCTTTGGAAAATGTGAGTTCAAGTTTCCAGGTTTCTATGATAACAATCAATGACTAGTTAAGGGTGTTGCGCACATTTCTGAACTGGAGGGGGCATTTTACTTCCCTGTACTCTTTTGCCATCTGCCGTGAGACCCCAGTATTGCGATTTCCAGCACTGCCCGGCTGCATGGAGAGGATTCAGCATCGACTGTGTGGGACGAATTTTATCACCTCATTCCAAGCATGCCTTCCAGATTTCAGACACCGGGAGAAACCGGCAGTTTAAGCTGCTTGATTTGTCTCTGGGCCCAAATGAACATTACTTAAACCTGCAATTGTAAACCCAAGTTGGTTGTCTTTAAAACAAAGACATAGTGTTGTCTTTCTGAAATGAACAATAGGTTTTACTTCTCACGACATTTCTTGGTGACACAGAAGTAAGCTAGTTCTTTCCTTCTGCTCGCAGGTATACGTGGCAGCCTTCGCCATCTCTGCCTATGCATCCAGCTACTTCCGAGCAGGCAGCAAGCCATTTAACCCGGTCCTTGGAGAAACGTACGAATGCATCCGACGGGATAAGGGCTTCCAGTTTTTTGCCGAGCAGGTGATGTGCGCCCTTTGTGTTTGTTGAGAGAATTGCTTGTGCCTGCTATTGAATGCCCTTTTGAAATATTTATTTCCCTCCTTTCACTGGCTTCAAAAGGATTGAGATAATTACAGACTTGGCAACATGAAGCCAGGATATGTTTTCTCTGTGTGGAAGCCGAGCTAGCACCCACACCACCCTGGCCTCCCTAATTCTGAGCACCTGCCTGGCTACAGGCAGCGGCAGAGGCAGCGTTCATTCTCCCTCAGATCATTAGCAAAAGGAAGTGCCAAGGTCCAAGCTTCTGCCCAGAGTGTGACTTAGAGAAAAAGTGTGTCCAAGCAGTTGTCACCACTATTCTGGAGCCCGACTGCCCCTCCGAGTGGGCGTTGCCATATCAGTGCAATGGTCTAGATTTTTGCTTAAGAGAAATCACTTGTGGGTGGGTGTTTGTTATTCAGAACAATGATATATGTCTCTCTCTTTTTAATGTTTACTATGTGCCTATGGCTCAGACCCTGCAGTGGAGTGGGGAGGCAATGGGGATAGACAAGAGTCCTATCTAATGAATGAACATGTTGTCCTTGTGTGACCTAAGAACCATTAGATCCTTCCACACAAGGTAGCATGGAAGGGTCAGGAGCCAAGCGGCTCATATTTGAAGCGCAGCTCTGTTTCCCACAGGCTGTAGAGCTCAGGGCAAGTGGAGGTGAGGCCATCATTTGTGTCTTCTGTGGTTCTAAAGCAGGGTCTGATCATGAAGTATGACTGTTCAGTGTGCATTGAGGGATGAAAAGCCCTGTGTTTGCCAACGTGGAGCACCCCTTCGGCTAAAATAGATTCTGCGCCTTTAGAACGACGCAAACCGCCCTCCAGGAGACTCTAGCCGTCATTGCTTTGATAGATTTCTCTCCCAACTCCTAGAAAACAGAGGATAAAGAGGGAATGTGGGTTGCTAAATATTCGTTCCCTTCTGGTTATTTTTGTCAATGGATTTGCATCATGGGGTCTGGGAGAGAAGACGTAGTGAACTTGGCTTTTCTTTTCTTCGGTGCCCCTCCCCCCCACCTTCTGTCTTTCTGTCTCTTTGAGATAGGATATTACTACACATCCAGTTTGGCCTCAAACACACATTTTTCTTTCCTCAGCCTCCCCAGTAAAGGAATTACCGATTCACCATCATCACACCCAGCTCCCCAGAAGCCGGGGACTGTGATGTTTTTTGCAAAGCTGTATAGTATACCTGCCTGCCATCCAACTGTTCAAAGGTCTCAGGCAGAGAATTCAAGGCCAATCTTGGCTTCCTAGAAAGTTCTAGACCAGCTTAGGCTGTGTAGTGAGATTTTATCTCAAAAACAGGCAACACAAAAGCCAAAACCCAGAACAATGGTGTTCCCTGGAACTTTGAGGAAAATGAATATCCAAAAGCCCCCAAGCATATTGCCAGTGGCTTTCCAGGTGAAAATGAAAAGTAATTATTACTTAATATGGGGAGATGGGAGCTAAATCAGTAGTTATGGGATCCAGTAATCTGTCTGACTCAAATTCAGCTGGGTTATTTAAATACTGAATCTAAAGTGGAATGAGAATAAATGAAGACATGATTTGGTTGCCATGGTGTTAGATGCACTTTTGTGGGGCGAAAGAAAAAAGAAGAAAATGAAGGCCTGAAATAGCCCCAAACTTCAGCTGGCAATCGGAGCAGAACGAAGAACTCTCAGGGGAGAGTGGCATGAGCTGCGGAAAGGTGAATGGCAGACCTTGGGGTCCTGAAGGGGTGGCGCCAGTCACAGGGTCTGCAGTACATCTACTGTGGGACTCAGATCAGAGGACCAGGGCCAAAGGGCAGGTGCTCACGCACCCTGAGAGATCACCAGAGGGCTCCAGAGAATTTAGTCTTTGGCTCCATGAATCGGATCCCAAAGTAAAAGGCAAAAAACGCATCTGGCCGTTTCCTGCAGCATTGAACGTGCCTTCTGTTTGCTCAGCGTGTGTGTGTGTGTGTGTGTGTGTGTGTGTGTGTGTGTGTGTGTGACTTGCACGAGTGACTTAAGTCCCTGGAGCCCTTGTCTTCATCCAATGGGAGTGGCAGTACTTGGCTGGCAGGCTGTAGGAAGGCATAAATGAAAGGGTGCTGTGACGATAATGCCCTTACACCAAAGAGTGCATGGTTAATGGTTATTGCCCTTATATTTAGAGAGGACTTTAAAATGCCTTTAAATGAAGTGTGGAGAGTAGTTAAAGAGGAGCCATAAGAGCCCAGGAAATCCAATAAGATACATGTGTCTCTGCTAGCACCTGAGGCTGAGTGCCTCCAGTGACGCAGAGTGAGTCCTCAGGCTGCCGCCTGCCGCGCAGGTTTGCTGTCATTATGACCACTGGTCCTGACGGTAATGGAGACAGAACATCTGTCTGGGATTTAGCCTTATGACTCAAATTGCTGCTTTTAGTGCTTGAAGGAAAACTGGGTGTCTCGGAACAGAACAGGGATGCCACCGCTCTGTGCCGTTACTGTGACTGAGGTGGGTTTCCCCACTAGCAGGTTACTTGGGAAGCAGGATTATGATCTCAGGAGAATGTGAATGTGTCTGTCATCATGCACACACGCACACACATGCACGCACGCATGCGCACACACCCTTTCTTTCTGCCCTCATTCATCCTTACCAGATGACGCACTCTGTGAAGCCCCTACCATAGCATATCTAAGGAGCAGCATCCGTTTCCTTTCATGTTCATACCTGCTTGTGTGACTTTTCTGTTTCTGGCCCAGGACAACAGTCTGTCCCACAGAAGTAGCATGAGGTTGCACTTGTCCAGTGTGTGCAGTTGACAAGCTTTTAGAATTTGTGTGTGTGTGGTGGTGGGGGTCTATGTTTTATGTTTTCCTGTGCCTCTCTATAAGTACAGGTAACTGAAGGACCACAGTAATGAACTGAGTAGGGGAGCCCTAATTTAAGATCTCCCTCCCTCCCTCCCTCCCTCCCCCCCCCCCCCGTCTCTCTATCTCCATATATGTGTAATTTTATCCTAAAAAAGACATGGACTGAAGTCCTATGTATCTCCAGGCTAAAGGCCGAAGACAGTTTCCTCCTCCTCCTCCTCCTCCTCCTCCTAACTTTGCTAGCCAACCACCTATCACGGGCAGAATGGTGGGTCTCCTTCCTTCAGCCCTGTGACCCAGTTAGTGCCGGGCATGTGGCTGTTCATGTCGGTGAGTCCCAGGAAGTGAAGTGATTGCTGCTCCAGAGTTCAACTAGGCCAAAGCATCTTTCTCCGTATTATCGCTCATGGGAAGAGACATGATGACATGTTGCAGAAGCGACTCCTGTGATGAGAAGCCATTTCTTGTCACATTATCCTCATCCCCATTGACTGGTAGTTTTGCTTAGCACTTTCTGCCTCCAGAAGGTGTGATCACACTTGATCTCTAGATTGCCCAGAGTGGCAAGCCACCAAAGGTTAGCTACCGCAAAGAGACCCGGGCCCAAATGAGCAAGCCTTCCTACATCCCAGAACCCATTCATTGCCCTCCACTGTCCTGTCCCTGCACTCTTCTGGGGCCATGTTTAAAGTTTAGGTACAAGGCTCAGAGATACCAGAATTGCTGACCATGGACGGGAGAATAGCCTTTGTCTATATTGTTCAGGACATGGGACCACAAAAAACAAAAGAAAACAAAGAAACAACAACAACAAAAACAGCAACAACAACCCCCCTCCACACCACACTTACCTCAATAGGAGTAAGATAGAGTTTATTCTGGAACCAAATATGGGAGACCATGTCTTAGAAACAGATTTCGGCTATCCCAAATTCCATATTCCAACAGGGTAGTTTGGCAGCAACAGAGCAAAGCAAGTCATAAGCAGATTTGTTAGGTAAAGGGGTGGGGCCAGTTCCCTTGCTCTCGGGCCCTTGGCTCCAGCTCAGCCATGTTGACAGCACCAGGGCCAGCTCCACTGCCCAGGCAAGGTTCTCTCTCTCTCTCTCTCTCTCTCTCTCTCTCTCTCTCTCTCTCTGTAGGGGGCATGGGGCTAGGGTCAGCTCTCCTGTTCTCATGCCCTCAGGACTGGCTCACCTGCATCCAGGACGACAGGGTTAGCTGTGATGTGTTGTAGCTGGTAAGGGGCAGGGCTAGCTAGTTCTCTGATTCCCATGACCCCAGTGCCAGCCTTCTTGCCTGCCGGTACTTCTTTTGGGTCCTTCTAAAGGCAGTTGGCTGAACACTGTTAATCAGCTGTAGTGGTTTTAAAAGAGCACACCTACATTCCTATAAAATGTGTGCATACTTCCTGATATCACAAGATCCCTCTAGTTCTTATGGATGGTACGCCGCTCCATTTTATTGACTTGCAATAATTACAGACTAGGCTCTTGATGTTTGTATGCAGTAGTTTGGTTTGGTATTTCTACTTGGGAGTCCCATACACGTATCAAGTTCTTGATGGTGGCTGTATTACTCCCTCCCACATTCCATGGCTCCTTGCCCACTCCAGTGGGACATGTCAGGTATGTAGAGAACTGTGATTGGAGGAGGGGGGGTGGCCTTATTCCAGTTCAACCATATGCAACCTTATGATTTAAAATTCAGCTAGACTATTCTGAGAGCGCTGTCATGGGAGGAAGGAGGGGGATAGAGGGCTTTGTGCTCCAAAGTATTGCCCAGTAGTTGGGCTTTCAAAGCCGTTGACAAAGAGAAGCAGGCGGTTGCTTTGATTATAGGAGTTGCGGCCTGAAGATAGTGAAAATTTCTCTCCAAAACTGCAGGAAAAAGCAGGGGCCTTGTCACGTCAGACAGCACATGGGGGACTAAGACACATCAAGCGATAGCAGTGTCCCACCTCCTGCTTCCCGTAGCTGGGATTTCAGTTCATTGAGTAATCTGAAGGTGTGGATACTATTTCTGTCTTTCTCCACTTTCCTGGCTCCACAGCCTGTCAGTTAAGGCTGTGGGCAGGATGCCTGGGAATCCATCAGCCCAGGAAGCTCCGCACAGGGGGTGGTTTACAAAGCAGGATTCTCAGCATGGGTGAGCCCAGGGCGAGCCAGTGAGTGACTGTGGGCTTGTCATTGTCTGTTCCCTCCCCCCATCCCTTCTTACACACCTGCTCGGTCCAGATAGAAGTCCTGAGTGGTTAATGTGATGTGTCTGAGAACAGTCAGCTACTTCACACTTTGTTCCTGAAGTCTACACACCACCGATACTCAGTTTTGCTTTGCTGATTTCTCTCCATGCTGTGGTTTGGGAAACTGGACCTATCTGGTTTCAGCCTCCACACTGTTCATAGGAAAGACCTTGATTAGACCCTCCGAATAGAAGATAACCTCTGCTAAGAGCCATTGAAATCGGAGGAATTTCTGGCCGCGCAGTGCCAGCATGGCTGGTTTTCCCATGAGTACTGATCTGTGAGAACAGCACAGGGTCCTGAGTGCCACCGAGGTAAAGAGATGGAACACAGCCTCCATTTAGTACTGAGCGGCTTGATTGGTGGGTAAAACAAGCAATGGCGCCCCCCAGTGGCAGCCTCCGTTTCGAGGCTCATCCCTTCTAGGATATAATTATTTACTCGTTCAAGATTGCTTATATATGGGGCTGGAGAGATGGCTCAGTGGTTAAGAGCATTGCCTGCTCTTCCAAAGGTCATGAGTTCAATTCCCAGCAACCACATGGTGGCTCACAACCATCTGTAATGAGATTTAGTGCCCTCTTCTGGCCTGTGAACACACACACAGAATATTGTATACATAATAAATAAATAAATATTTAAAAAAAAAAGATTGCTTGTATATATTGATGATAGTTTTTTTGTGAGCATGTGTGTTTGCAAGTGTGTACATGTGTTACAAGCACGTGTGTCTGTGTGTGTGTGTGTGCGTGCGTTCGTGTGTTGGCAAGTGCGTGTATGTGAGCAAAAAGAGAACTTCATGTGTTGTTCCTCAGAAACCATCTGTGTAGTTTTGTAGTTTTTCTGAGGCAGGGTCTCTCACCGGCCTGGTACTCATCAAGTAGACTAGGCTGCCTGACCAGTGAGTCCCGAGACCTGTTTGTCTCTGCCGTAGTGCTGGGATTACAAATAACGACCAGCATGCCCAGCTTGCTTGCTCCCTGCCTTCCCCAGTGTGGGTTCTGGGTCTGCATTCAGTTCCCCGCGTTTAAACAGCAATGGCGCCGTGGACTGATCATCTCCACAGTCCTCACGCCTTTCCCCTCTTGGCACTTGATGTGCTTTCTCCGATGGCTATGGCTAGTTCTGCTTTACAGACACAGTATTCTGAAGAATTCTCTCCGGGGCCAGTGAGATGGCTCAGCCGGTAAGGGCACTGGATGCCAAGGCTTAGGACCTAGGCTCCATCCCTAGGACCCACAGCGTGGAAGGTGAGGACCGACTCCCACAATTGTTCTCACCTTCCATGTGGGAGCCACGGCACGCGAGCGTGTATATGTGCATCTCACACGCATGGCCGATAAATGAGTGAATAAATTTTAAACATTAAAAAAAGAAAGAACTCTCATGGATTGACTATATCAGTGATGTATGGTTCAGTTTTCTGAGCCCTAGGGGGACATATCTTTATGTTCTGTTACTTAGAAGTGGCACAGTGGAACCGTGACACTGACCTCTTGGTTAAAATGATTGCAAGTCTTTTCATAGCTGAGGAGAGTGCAGACCTCAGGGGGCCCTCTTTTTATTTTATACTGTTCAGTTCATGCCTGTGTCCTCACTACTTCAGGCTGGCCATGCTCCCAGGAAAGCTTCTGGAGGCTTCCATTCACAGCTTCCTTCCCAGCCACCCAGAGGAAGTGGGAGCTGGCTATGTCAAGACTGCCCTCTTGAAGACACACTTGTTCAAGCTGTAGCATTGCCCCGGTGGCCCCGGCTCAGCGCGAGGGGAAAAGCAATGGCTTTCCAGCCATAACATTTCCTCAAATTATGTTTTTTTTTGTCCTTTGTCTCCATCAGGTCAGCCACCACCCACCGATCTCTGCCTGCCACGCTGAGTCGAGAAACTTCGTTTTCTGGCAAGGTACGTGCTGATCCATGTGGCCTTCGCTTTCATAGCATTGAAGACTTCATGTTTTCCGGGGATTGCTCAGTCTTGCCAGGATCAAAAGCAGTCCCTGACCCGCTCTTCAGACAGTGTCAGCCCTCCTGATGCGCGACCCTCTCCCTCCTGAACAGCAGCTGACGTGTACCACATACTCATTGACAGTGTGGTTTTTTTTGTTGATTCTTATGGATGCTACGGATACAAGAGATCGATTCATTTTTTTGCCTCTTAAGAAACCTCCTCCATCTGTACCTGAGTCACCTGTTCCTGGAGCTTTGCCTTCACCTTACTCTACAACATCTTGACATGCAGGGGTTGCGGCAGAGTGTAGACAGCACATAGGTCTCTTGCTTTTTAAGAATTTAAATTCCGTTTCCAAAATTACATTTGGCACCTCCGAATTCTATTCATCTTTGTTTTTATGAGCGTTTTTAATTCATTGAGCTTTCATTTTATTTAGCATGTGTGTGTGTGTGTGTGTGTGTGTGTGTACATACGCATGTATGTAGATCAGATGATAACTAACAGGACTGGGCTCTTCTCCCATCTTGTGGGTCTGGAGGATGAAACTCATGTCCATCAGGCGTGGTGGCAAGCACCTTGTCCTGCCGAGCCGTCTTATTGGTTTGTTTTTAAGTGCTGTTTGGAGATTTTCGTCTGTGCTTTGTGTGGTTGTTGCTATCTTGCTTTGTGTTGTTGTTGTCTGGCTTGTTGTTTTTGTTTGTTTGTTTGTTTTGTTGTTGTTATTTTAAATGAGACAGGGTTTCTCTGTGCAGCTTTGGAGCCTGTCGTGGTTCTCTCTCTCTCTGTATAGACCAGGCTGGCTTCAAACTCACAGAGATCCACCTGCCTCTACCTCCCGAGTGGCAGGATCAAAGGCGTGCGCCACCACTGCCCGCCACCACTGCCCGCCACCACTGCCCGCCACCACTGCCCGCCACCACTGCCCCGCCTGTCTGGCTTTGTTTTTACTACTCTCAAGATCCCAACCCAAAGGTTTGGGAAAGGAAGGCGCTCCTACCACTGAGCTTTGGCCCCTCCCTCTTTAATTTTCAGGGTTGTTTTGGTACCCATGTTCCTAAAGCTTACTTTTGGAGATGGAGGAGATGGCAAGTTGTTCTAAAAATAACGCCCCACATTTCTCCTACATGAGTGAGGTTTCTTAAGTTTCCATTTATACAAAAGATCGGAGTACAGTAAGAGAAACCGAGCACACATCATTTTCTTTTAAAATGTTGTTTTGTTTGTTGGAGACAGAGGCTCATGTAGACAGGACTAGCCTCCAATTCGCTACATAGACCAGGGTGACTTTAAACTTCTTAGACTAGGGTGACCTGGAGCTTCTTACCTCCAGGCTTGACCTCCCAAAGCGCTGGGCTTCCGGGCGTACCCCACCACACCTGGTTTACACAGAGGACTGAACTAGGGCCTCACACATGCTAAGTGTGCAATTACCAACTGTTACATCCCAGCCCCTGGCCAGTTTTTAAAAACGTCCCCTTTACTAACGTTGCCATTTGTTCCCGTGATGTCTTTATGTCCGTGTACATATGCATGTATCTCTGTGAGATCTGAAAGCACTAGAGCACACTGGAACACTCCACCCTCCTGCTGCATTATCCACTTACTTGGTATGGATGCAATCAATATGAAAGTTAAAAGGGGAATGTTTCTTTTACTTAATCTTTGCTACAGATGCTTAATATTAAATATTGAAGATTCACCTGAGATTTCTCCACTTTTCGTGAAAACCTTCTTGTAGCAAGTCTTTCTCTGTTCTGCCAGCTCCCAACTAATGACACAGAGACTTCTTATTAATTATGAAAACTTGGCCTTAGCGTAGGCTTATTTCTAACTGGCTCTTATAACTTAAATTAACTTATTTCTATTAACTTACATGCTATTACATGGGTCATAGTTTTTACCTCTCCTCCTGCGTGTCCTGGTTCCTCTGCATCAAGCTGGTAACTAACCCTTTTTTCTTCCCAGTTCTCTCTCTGTCTGGAAGTCCCACCTATACCTCCTCTCTAGCTTTTGGCCATTTAGCTTTTTACGAAACCAATCACAGTGACATATCTTTACACAGTGTAATCAAATACTTCACAAGAACTTCTGGAAATATTTCTCATAAGGTTCTTAACTCCTACCTAAAAGTCTCATTGGCCTTGTAAGTATTTCTTTCTTGTTTTCTTAAAGCTCTACATTTTTGTCTTTAACAAGAGAACCTTCTCAGAATAGTCCCTGAAAGTTCTTTGTGTTACACACGTCCCTACTCATCCTTTTCTGGGTGATTTTACCTGTTCCCTTGGTGTAGGATCTTCAAATCTGCACATTTCTCTGCCTTTTGACTGGGTTGTTTAGATCATTTACATTTATTGTGGTTATAGATGTAGGTGATTTAAATGTGTCTTGTTTCCTAATTAGTCAAATCTATTCCTTGCTCCCCCTTTTCTGTTTTTAATGCCTTCTTTTGTATTAGTTAAGTACTTTCTATATGCCTATTTTATCTCTTCTGTTGGATTATATCTATAGCACTTTGTTTTGTGCTTAGTTGTTACCTCAAGATTATATATCTTTAAGATATTACAGTCTGCCATCAACTGGCATTGTTATATATAAATTTGGATGTAGTAAGACACATAACAAAGTAAACCCAACCTCTGTGAGATTGTGTGTGTGTGTTGCAAATTCATCAATGCATTGTTATCTTTGCTCAAATCCAATTCTCTCTTTTTCAATTTTCTTACCAATTTTATTAAGAAATGCTCACATACTATATTATTTACACACTTAAAATATATAACTCTGTTTTTTTTGTTAGCACAATTAATTTTAAAATAGTTTAATCACTCAAAAGACAGCATCTTAGCTAATAATGCTCCCACAGCTTCCTTCAAATTCATGATTTGCCGTATGCCATCAAAGGAATCCACTTGCCTCTCTCACCTGAACTGCAGCTACGCATCTCCCAGCCTTTCTCATTTCCTATAGTTCTTCTGTCTCAGGGCAGCCGCTGGACAGGGCCTGCTTCCCTCTGGCTCTCCCCTTTCTCTCTTGGTGGTGGCATCTGCAACTTAGGACAGCTGGTACTGCTTATATAGGTTCTCTCCTTTCCTTAGCCTGTGTCTGTGTGCTGCTCCATCCTCCACTGTTGCTTTTTTTCCCATGAGCCCTTGCACCACAGTGGTTGGCTTGACTCACTTCACTCCTGTGCATCCCCTGAGCAGCCACAGCAGCCAGATACCTGATCCCCTTGCTTTTATCTACTCCTGTCAACACTTTGAATTTTTTTTTACAAGGTTTTTATGTAATTGTACTGGTTGATTCTTTTCAATTCAAACAAGACTTCTTGCTAGGTTTGCGGAACCCACTGTTCCCTTAGAAAGCCTGACTTCCTACTCTTCTCCTTAGATAGTCTCAGACCTTCAGCCAGACCCACACTCCACTCTCTACTCTTCTGACACTTTAAATACTGTTTTTCCAATACCGACTCCTCTATGCTCCACAGACTTACTTGTGTTCTGCAGAGCCCTGCTTAAATGACCCTTTCTGACAAGCCCCTGTGATGCCATAGCACACTGGGGACAGCCCGTGTCTGTGTGACCGCGACTTGTTCTCATCTCGTTTTTGTGCTGTTGACTCTTTCAAGAGAACTTTGCCTTACAACTTTGTTTCCCTAATTCTGTTTTGGGTACCCAATTGTTTCTAGTGCATGAATAATTGTCTCCATTAGAACCAATTTATCTGTGGCAGTTACAGAATGACCAGTCATTTGTCGAGCCTGAGGCCTCTGGTCTACCTACCTGTCTTGTCGAATATGTGACGTTTGATAATTTGTTTCAGATGTGAGATGGAAGAACAAATTCTGGGGGAAATCCATGGAAATTGTCCCAATTGGCACAACGCACGTGACGCTGCCAGCGTGAGTTCCTGCGCATTAGGAATGTCAGCTCTTGGGTCAGAAGTCCACGTGAGCGGACTGTCGAGGCTGCCCACCAATCCCTCTGGCTCGGAGATGATGCTTTTCTCTCTCCTTCCATCTGGCAGTGGGTTCAGGTGGTCTCTGCCTGGCAGGCTCCCAGCCTAGTCCTTTCTCTCACCGGATGGAAGTGCCTCCCACAGACGACAGCTCTCTGAGCAGATTTTAAGACTCATTTCTGCCTCTCTCCAAGATAAAAGTTCATTTTTCTTCATCACTGTGGGCCCGTCTCACTGACAGAATTCCCTCAGAGATGGACATGGCTTTGGTGATGCAGGCCTCATTAGTAGGCGTTTCTAAAGCGATCAGGCCAGACTGGGGAGTCACATGCTGCTGTGGCCCTTCCTCCCGTGACTGTCGTTGGTCAGGCTTGTTGTAATAGGAGCGGCGGGCTGCGTCCCCGGCACCCGGCCGCCCGCACAGCTAGCTTTACCCGAAATAATTACACAGAAACTGTATTCTTTTAAACACTGCCTGACCTATTAGTTTCAGTTTCTTATTGGCTAGCTCTTACATATCGATCTAACCCATTTCTATTAATCTGTGTAGCCCACGAGCTGGCTTACCAGGAATGATCTTAACCTGCGTCTGCCTGGAGTGGGAGAATCATGGCGACTCCTGATTCAGCTTCTTTCTCCCAGAATTCTGTTCTGTTTACTCTGCCTACCTAAGGGTTGGCCTATCAAATGGGTCTAGGCAGTTTCTTTATTAATAAGAAATCACTCCCACATCACAGGCTGCCACTCCTTTCTTGTCACTACTGTCCTTGCCTGCCTCTCAGGACACGTGGGAAGATTTGACACATATTTTGCATAGGGCACTTAAAATACTGCTTACCGTCTCCTCACAGTTGCTACTGGACTCTGTGAGCAATGCCTGCGTTTCTTCCTCATGAAGGAGGGGTAAATAATCTGTGACTGTTAAAGTGTGGGAGACCGCCCCCCTGCATTTATTAAAGTGTGGGATACCGGCCACCCTGCACCTATTAAAGTGTGGGAGACCGCCCCCCACTGCATCTATTAAAGTGTGGGAGACCGGCCCCCCTGTACCTATTAAAGTGTGGGAGACCGCCCCCCACTGCATCTATTAAAGTGTGGGAGACCGGCTACCCTGCACCTATTAAAGTGTGGGAGACCGGCCATCCTGCACCTATTAAAGTGTGGGAGACCGCCCCCCACTGCATCTATTAAAGTGTGGGAGACCGGCCACCCTGCACCTATTAAAGTGTGGGAGACCAGCCCCCCACCCCACTGCATCTATTAAAGTGTGGGAGACCGCCCCCCACTGCATCTATTAAAGTGTGGGAGACTGGCCCCTACCCCACTGCATCTATTAACGTGTGGGAGACTGGCCCCCACCCCACTGCACCTATTAAAGTGTGGGAATCTGGCCCCCACCCCACTGCATCCTTCTACCAAATTCCTTTTCATAGCCTGGCAGTTTGCTTGCCCGAGAACCTCAGTCACATGTCGCTTGGAGCTTTATTCGGGGCTGGGTCTGCAATTGAGGGCTGCGTGATTCATTCCCCGCCTCATTATATAAAGTAGGACGGCCCACTGCGTCTGTGGCTGGTTCTTCTGGGAGTCACCTTTGACATCCCCTCTCTTTCAGTTTTGGGGATCACTTTGAGTGGAACAAAGTGACCTCCTGCATCCACAACATCTTGAGCGGACAGCGGTGGATCGAGCACTACGGTGAAATTGTCATCAAGAACCTGACCGATGACTCCTGCCACTGCAAAGTGAACTTCATAAAGGTACCAGAGGGGGCCGAGCTCTGGTGCTAGAAGAGGGCAGGGCTAGGTGGCCAGAGCACAGGCTGTCACTTGACCGGGACGTTGACCCTGCCTGCCTCCCCTGCCGTGGGCCCTCAGTGAAGAGCCCGTCATCAGACCATGTGACACAGAGATACATGAAGGCGTTGTGCTAAGTGGATAAACCAACATGAAAACATGTATTCTATGTTATTGTTGTCTATTCCAATTCCATGGATCACCAGAACAGCCAAGGTTAGAGGAAAAGAAAATAGAGCAGGGGTCATTGGGAGCTGTGTGTGGGGGGAGGATAGAGAGTTTGTGTCACGGGTTCGGAGCTTCTGTTTAGGAAAATGGAAAAGTTCTAGAAATGGAAAGTAGCGGCAGTTGTACAACACTGTGGATGTACTTCATAGTTTTGAGCTGTGCATTTGAGATGGATGAAATGAAGCCAGACTTGGTGGCATGTGCCTGGAATTGCAGCGCTCAAGAGGTTGAGGCTTGTGAATTGCGAGTCTGAGAGCAATCTGGACTACAACGTGAGACTGTCATGAAAGGAAGGACTTGGGGCGGGGACCGCTATGCTTGTGTGTTTTGCCACGAGGCAAGGTGCGACCAACCGTTTCCTTTACAAAGCTTTCCACTCGCTTCCATCCTCTCAATTAGACACCTGCGTTCTCTCAATGGCCCACGAGGTTCTGCACCTCTGTACTGCCAGCTGTCACCCCTCAGAATGCGTGTGCAGCCGTAGTGTGTGCACGCGCGCGCTCACACACACTCACACACCCTCACTCCTCCCAGTCCCAGCTCCCGCTACCCGCTCACTCCTCCCAGTCCCAGCTCCCGCTACCCGCTCACTCCCATCTGCCTCCTAAGCCACTGAGCACACTGCCCGTCCGTCTTTCCGCCCTTCCTCCCCCGACCTCTTTTGCGAAGATCCTGTTGTTTCCACCTCACTCTGTCATCTGCTCCATTTCACCATCAAATTTTCTTCAAGGTTTTTTGTTACCACTGAAGTTAGCTTCCTAGTTCTTTCTTTCCCAGTCTGTCTCTCTGCTCCCCTCACGCTCCTTGCCAGCCCCAGCCCCACAGGAATAAAAACCTGGTTGTTCCTGCTCATCCTACAGCCCTGATTGGCCCTCGATCCTAACAGCTGAGGCCTCAGAACGCTCAGATAGATGAGAAGGCCAGCCAGGTGCAAGAAAATATGTAGGGCCTCTCTCCAGCTTCCTTAATCTGGGACCCACCCCTTTCTCTCCCTCCTAGAATTACTTTGCTTTTTAAAACCTCGTGTACTTAAAGTGGCTTTAAGGCACAGTCCTTGCCAAAGGATGTTTACATTTAACTAAGATCAAAATCCTAAACTGAGTGCAAATCCCTACAGTCCTCTCTGTGCTGCCTGTGACCCACAGGGGACATTTGTGTGGTCAACCAGGCAGCTGGGGCAAGAATGTGTTCCCTGAGTCCAGGTAGATCAGTTGTCCACATTGCCTCAAAGGAATGTACTCACCCCCTTGTCTGCCATCCACCTGGTCTCATCTTCTCAGTACCAGAGAAAGACTGAGTTAGTTTGAGTCCAGGCTGGCCTCACACTCCTGCCTCAGCCCTCAGAGTACTGAGATTACTGGTGCCTACCATCGCACGGCTTTACAGGAATTATGTGTGTGGTTATTTGAGATGGGGTAGTTATTTAAGATGAGCATTGGTTGTTGAAAGAGTATAGGGACGGACACCAGACTCCCGTGGGGCTTGGCTGTGTCTCCTCCGTGGCTTCCCATCCAGTCATCAGCGTTTGTTTGGTTGGTGAATATCGCAAAGGGAATAATTCTGACCCCTGCTTCCCAATAAACATAAGGGTTTGGGATCCTTTCTTCCCCTGCCACTTTTACAAGGCTGGAGAACTCAGTTCCTGGTGTCCGATTCACTTCCCTGGCACTGTTGCATCCCACCTGCATTGTCCCAAAGCTTTGAAGGAGAAAAACTAAACCCGAAGAAAATGACCTGGAAACGCCACTAAACTTTCCAAATACGGCTGCAGTTTCAACTGAAAATAGCGCTGGGGCTTTTGATTTATGGAGAAACACCTTCTGTTTGTGACAATTTTTAAGAGTGGCCAGGTACTTGGGACAGTTTCAAAGCATCACCTCTAGGGAGTTGGCACTCCCTCTGCTGGCCGGAGATTGGTACTGCATAAACTAGACTGAGCTGAGCTAAGCTTTAGGGAGTTGGGATCAGCAGGGTTGAGCTGAGCCATAGTCAAGGCTGCCTCTCAGGCCACTACTGATAAATACTGAGACAGTGTCTTGTATGAGGACCCTGCAGCTGGAACAGGCCCGGAAGAAAAAAATAGTAGAAATTGCAATGTCAAGTAACCTCCTTAACTAGTATGCAAATGACTGTTTTCTTCAAGTAAAAGGAATTATGAGTTAATTTTAAATCGTAGTAGCGAGAGCGCTCAGACTTTGGAATCCCAGTGACATGCCTGGGCAGCTGCTAATACACTAACCAGTTAGCACTGGCTAATGCAGTAGGTGCTTGGCGAATGCCTAAGAACTGAGTATCGCGTTCCTGTGTTATATAAAGCAAAGGCAGAAAAAGTGAGTATCTACACACATGTTTGTTATTAGGATATTAGGTGTACATTTTACTAAATAGCTAAAGGTATTTTATTTTAAATCCAGAACCTAGGCAGACTAGAAAGCCTATAAATGAATCCACATCTTTACACTTAATTGATTTAAAAAAAGATCCCAGTAGCACATGGCGAGAAAGGACAGTTTCTTCGGTAGTGCTGCTGGGACCCATGGATAGCCTCGTGCAAAAGATATTTGCAATCTGACAAGGTGTTAAAATGCAAAACATAGAAAGGAAGCCAACTCAACAGGAAGAAAATAGTGGATAACTGGGAATCTGGATGTGGCAGTATGCCCTGGTCAGACCAGCTCCTAAACTCAGGTGGCTAAAGCAGGAAGGTCACTGTAATGAGCTAAAGGGCAGGAGCCTGTCTCAGAAATAGAATGCAGTCTATGCACAGACAAGCCATAGATGCTAGAGAAAGTGCAGTGAGTCCGGCTTGAGTCTACAGGCTCTTGCTGCAAGCCTCGGGGTTCGGATGCCGTCTCCAGAACCCACGTGGTGGGAAGAGTGAACTGACTCCTGGAAGTTGTCCTCCGATTTCTACGTGTGTGCCGTAGCATGCTCAAGGACATGCGCATGTAAGCCAGTGTTTTCAACAGAGGCACACAGAGCTAGAAACACAGCTCAGTGGCATGGAGCCTGCCTCCCAGAAGAGGGGAACAAGTACACACAGACAGATGAATGGACACTCAGCATCACTAATCAATCACCCAGGATATGCAAATTAAAAATGCCGTGAGATGTCACCTCACTCCCTCTTATAACAGCTCACTTCGAGGGTTGGTGGTGGCGCAGGCCTTTAATCCCAGCATTCAGGGAGTGGGGGCAGAGGCAGGAGGATTTCTGAGTTTGAAGCCAACATGTCCTACAGAGGGAGTTACAGGACAGTCAGGGCTACACAGGGAAACCCTGTATTGGAAAAAAAAACAAAAACAAAAAAGCAGCTGACACCAAAAAGATAGAAGGTAGATCTGAGAACTGAAGAGAAGAGAATCTTGCACACTGCGAAGGGGACATGAACCAGTGCAGCCATTAGGGAGAAGGAAGGTCCTCAAAACACTGAGCTCTTCTGGGGCCCTGCAGTCCGACTCCTGAGTAGACAGGCAAAGGACATGAAATCAAGACTCCGTGTTCTTCACGTCACTGTACACAGGAGCCAAAAGGGATCCACCTAAGTGCGATCAACTCAGATACAATGCAGAATCTGCACAATGGAATACTGCCCGGCCAGGGAAAGAATGAAGTCCTGTCGTTTGCCTGTTTGTGTATGTGTGTGCTTGTGTGCATGTGCGTATGGAGCAGATACTGTGCAAAGTGAAATAAGTCAAGCTCATAAAAATGTAACATCATCTCATCTGTATGGGGAACTAAAAATGTTGGCTGCTAGAAGCAGAAAGGAGGGAGGAGATGAGCAGAGGTAGGGGTGAGGCTTGGGAAAATTACTGATCAAAGGATACAATCTTTCTGAAAATACAACAACGCCACTAACAATGTATCTATAGTCTCAAAAATTGACAACCACATTTTTTAAGTGCCCTCACCAAAAAAAGTGAGATAAAATATGCTTATTAGCTTGGGTTTAGCCATTCTAAAATGTGTACATATTTCAAAATGTTATTTTATATATGATAAATATATATAATTTGTATTTTTAACTAAATAAGCAACCCATAACACTCTTATGGCTTTTTAAATTTCCCCTTAGATATAATGTCCTGTAGTTCAGGCTAGCCTCAAATTTGACTTGCAGCTGAGGATGACCTTGAACTCCAGATCCTCCTGCCTTCTTTATAAAAGAACACCACAGGACCTGAACTTAGTTCTTTATCTTACTTTCTTTATTCCCCCATTTAATACCTGTAATAAGTGGATGCCAGAATCTTTCCCAGACCATTCTCATCTGCATTCTAGGCAAAATACTGGAGCACTAACGCCCATGAGATCGAAGGCACGGTGTTCGACCGCCATGGGAAGCCTGTGCACCGGCTGTTTGGGAAATGGCATGAGAGCATCTACTGTGGTGGCACCTCCTCCTCCACGTGTGTCTGGAGAGCAAGTGAGTGTCCACGGGATCCCAAGCACGGGGCGGGACCGGGAGCTGTGACGGGCGAGTGCTGTTCTCTGTCTCTGGCTGCTGCCTGCTTGTTAGCAGGTTAGCGGTACCGGCCCATCCAAGTCCTGGTCATGCTTACAATAGCCCCTCAGTTTGGCTGCTAGGTTCCATCCTGGGTTCTCGGGACCTCAGAAAGGAGCCACTGTCCATCTGAGGGTGGCCTAGAGGGCTCTAGGGTTCCTGTCACACCTGGGACTGCCACAGGCTTTGTTGGAAGGCCGGAGAAATGCAAGGAGGAATCCCCAGGCAAAGGTCAAGAGGAAAATGTCACTAGAAAAACAGTGACCTGAGCTTCCCAAAGCATGCATGATCCCCAAATTGGCCCAACCCCAAAGGCCACCCTCGTCTCCTTTGTCATCCCAGAAGATACAGCCCCTGGAGCAGCTGTGCCAAGAAGGCTGTGGAAGCCCAAGGTCTCCACCAGCAACACTTTAGTCTTCTGACTGAAAAGTCAGAGTCATCTTATGAAACCCCTCTCCTGGGATCAGGGCTCTCTGGATGGATGTTAGTCTGGTTAAGGGAGGGAGAGAAAGGTTGGGGAAGGGAAAAGAAAAACCGCTCTGTTCATCACTGAAACCTTGGGGCTACATGCCATGATTTATTAAGCTGAGGGCTGATAGCCTCCTGTTGTTACCTCTACAGCCTGCTTGGCCCAGAGACACAGGTCAATGAGGAAGCATGCTACATGTGTTGGCTCCCATGCATGTAGGTGGTTGTCACAGCTCAGCATCTGGTCACCTCATTGCCAGCAGGGAGGAAGAGGGGGACTAGAGAGCTTTTGATCTTGCACCTCCCTTTTCTCAAGAATGAAGCATTTCCCAGGATTCCCAGCCAGCGTGTCTTAACATCAGCCTGACGCGGGTCCTGACCCGTCCCCATGCCAGCTCGGGGCAACAGGAAGGCTCAGTTCGCCCGAGCATGGGCTTGTGTTCTGTAAGGAAGAGATGTGGCTGCAGGAGCAGCAGCGTCTCTTTGTCGGCTGCAGCCACATCTTCCTCCATCCCAAAGGTTGCTGAGGAGCTGGATGCCGTCTCAGCGGCCGCCTCCCTAGCCTCAGAGGCACATATGTGACTGTTCACACTGACAGTCGCTCATTTGCTGGAAGCTGCCTCACGTTATATGCCTGTTACATGTTACAGTACCACAGCTTCACAGGGTTAAACAAATGCAACGCATCTTTGTATCACTGAACAAATAGTCCACAGCATGAACGAATGTAACACACCTTCAACAAGTACTTCACACCAGTTACATCCTTACCATTCTTCCTTGACTTTGTCTCCCCGTGAGCCTAGCGTTCCCCTGGCCCATGTTGAAGGAAACCTCTGTCTTTACCCTGGTGGGCGGGGTCTCAGATGCTAAGCACTGCATGGAGCTTGGCTCCTGTGTTCTAGCTTAGGATGGGATACACAGGTAATGGGACTTGGAAAGCTTCACAAAGCAAGTCTGTGGCAGTGTTCACGGGGGACAGTGACAGGTGGATGTGGAACCAGCAAGTGTTATGACTGTCTGGGAACCTCCCTAGTCTGCGTTGGATCTCCCTGGTGTATACCTGATTCTTAGCAGAGATCCAAGTTAGGGCAAATCAGAACCTAATGTTCTAACCCCAGGACATGAGATTTTAGGGTCTAAGACTTGGTGGGGGAAAAAAATGAGGGGAAGGGGAAAGAAAAGGACAACGTGTACCGACAGCCCTCAGGCAGTTCTGCAGTGGGACTTGGCTAGTTTAAAAAAGGCCTAGTGAGTTTATCTATTGGATTTGATTTTTAGAACGTGTGTGTGTGTGTGATGTGTGCGTTCAGGGATGTGCCTGCCACTGCAGGAATGTGGAAGTCAGGGGACGACTTTGTGGAACCAGTTCCTTTTACCATACAGGTTCTGAAGGCAGCTTCTCAGCCTTGAGTGGCATCTCCCTGGGCCCCTGGTGTGCATATTTGAATAACAAATTCTGTGATAGCTCAGTAGGACAGACGCTCTACAGCGCTGAATAAATTCACTAGGGGACCAAGGCAAAGAGACCATATCCCTGAGCTAGAAAACTCAGACGGGAAAATCACTAGAGGACCAAGGCAAAGAGACCATATCCCTGAGATAGAAAACTCAGATGGGAAAAATCTGTAGAGAAATGCTCAGTAGCTACTTGTTAGTCAGAATATTTTAGTAGAAAGAGAACAGTTTAGAGTTAGAGATAGGACTTAGCTGGTCTGAGATGAGAAAGGTGGAGGGATTTAACTCACGCAAATGAATTGCGAAGGAGCCCGGGCGGTTTGTTTCTCTTGCAGATCCCATGCCGAAAGGCTATGAGCAGTATTACGGCTTCACACAGTTTGCACTGGAGCTAAATGAGATGGAACCATTGTCACGGTCTTTATTACCACCCACCGACACTCGGTTCAGACCAGACCAAAGGTAAGGGTTTATTCCAAGATCTTTCTCTCCAGAGACATTTAAAACAATCTACCAAGGGCGGTATTCACAATTGCCTGGCTGCCCGGAGCCTGAGGTGGGTACTGTCGTCAGGTACACAGGGACAAAGTGGAGGCTTCAAACATCTGTCTCAGAGGGATTAGAACCCAGACGTCCATCCTTGTGTGGTGTGTCCTCCACACATCTGTAGGACCCCATCTCTATTGAAATGTCAGAAAAGAGGGGAGGGCTATTTTGAAGAATGTCACTGTGTGTAGTAGTAATAAGCAATTGACTGTTCATTTGCCATAATCAAAGCACCCAGCTCTCCTGACCCCTCAAGTTGAAATGATTTTAGTGCACTGGGCTCTAAATTTGGATTCTGGGCTTGCTATTAATCAGTTGTGTGGTCTGTGGCAAGGCTTTTCCTCTTTCGCCACCTCAGTTTCCTATTCTTTTTTTTTTTTTTTGACTTTTTTATTATGAAAAGAATCTGTGCATTTATTTTTTTTAATTTATTTATTTATTAAGGATTTCTGCCTCCTCCCCGCAACCATTCTGCAAGACAGAAAGAATAATCTCCCCCAAGCCTTCTGTAACTGAGACTCAAACTTTAAAGGCCATATGAAAGGAAAGATTGCTATGTATGACTTAACTTTTTAAAAAAAAAAAATTCTTAAATAGAAGTGTATAACCAAATTCACAGATAGATGATCAACATGGATCTGTACTAAAATCTTACAGCATGGATTTGTGCAAAAAATCAGTAAGATGTCACCTGGTAGGGAGAAAACGGACTTGGGGACATGAACAGTCCATGGCTAAGAGGCTCAGATATTCCTTAAACATGGAGAGAAATTCATTTTTGCTCAGAATATTTTTTTAGATACTAATTTTTAAAACCAGATGAAAATACATTCTTACCTTAGATCAGAAAAAAAAAAGCAAAACAAAACCTATCTGTGGCTGGTGACAACAAGCTATAATATAAATAAATGTATAACATAAAAAGGGGAATATGAATTGCTTCAATTCCTTATAAAGTGTAGTTTTATAATGTATCCTTTACAGACTCACTCTTTTGTCCATCAATCCTAAGTCTAGAAATTTCTTTCTTTCTTTCTTTTTTTTTTTTTTTTTTTTTTTTTTGGATTTTCGAGACAGGGTTTCTCTGTAGCTTTGGAACTAGCTCTTGTAGACCAGGCTGACCTCGAACTCACAGAGATCTACCTGCCTCTGCCTCCCGAGTGCTGGGATTAAAGGCGTACGCCACCACCGCCCGGCTAGAAATTTCTTATACAGATATGCTTTCCTGTGTGTGAGTGGTTGTTGTCTAAAGTCATTCCCTGCAACATTAAATGTAGCACTAAAAACAGCAGAGACAGCCCAGTGTCTACAGGTAGAGCACATTTGAAATAACGAAGGTAAACCCACAAGGCTGAATACTATAGAGCTATTAAAAATGACGATGTCCAGGCACTGCTGCAAGAAGCTCTCTGAGATGTGTTGCTAAGCAAAAGGTAAAACGCAGCAGAGCACTTTTGCCAGCAGTTATGCTCCTGAAACGGAGGGCAGAATATGAATATGCGTTTATATTTGAAAAGTACGTACCAGGAAATGAACAGGGCGGCGCTGCCTGTCATGGAAGAGTGGGAGAAACAGAAGACTGACTTGGGTTTCTCTAGTCTTTGAACCCTGAAAATATTACCTGTTCAAAAAAGGTTATTGTCTTTTGGCCCAGAGGACTGCATCATGGGCTGAAAAAAGGGCCCGGGTGTAGGCCATCTTGCCAGCCTCGGGCATAGAAGTGGTTGGTTGTTGTTTTTTCAGTGACTGTTCCTTTCCTCTTTCCCCTCAATGCCCAGGCTTCTAGAAGAAGGGAACATAGAGGAAGCTGAGGTCCAGAAGCAGAGGATTGAGCAGCTGCAGAGGGAGAGACGGCGGGTCCTGGAGGAAAACAACTTAGAGCATCAGCCCCGCTTTTTCAGGTTTGTGCAGAGCTGTGGTGGCGGGCTGGGAGGTCCTGCCTACGCTTTCTGGGTGCTGGTCCACTGCAGACAAATAGTGTCTGCATGGCCGTCACTATCCTCAGACAGGACTGGGGCCTTCCTCATTGCCTCCCTTGCTTCTTTCCCTTGGCCGTCACTATCCTCAGACAGGACTGGGGTCTTCCTCATTGCCTCCCTTGCTTCTTTCCCTTGGCCGTCACTATCCTCAGACAGGACTGGGGCCTTCCTCATTGCCTCCCTTGCTTCTTTCCCTTGGCTCAGCAGCGCCACCACCAAGAGTTCTTCAGTCAATCCCTGTAGCAGAAGAAAGGGGCATTGTCAGAAGTGGTCCTAACACCCAGCATCTGCCTCGGAGGAGGCTGATTGCTAGCAGGGCTAGGTTTTACATGTTGACAGGCTAGCTGATGACCGCCCTGCCGTAGAACTCAAAGTACCTACTATGCTTAGACCGGCAGTCCCAATATGTTTGTGCTTGAGTTTGAAAGATCTGATTGATCATTACTTTTAAATAGCTTTCTGGAGTTGGGCATGGGTAGCTTGTAATCGGTCATACTGGCAATCCCAGCACAGGGGAGGCTGAGGCGGAAAGTTTGGTGAGATTGCGAGGCTAGCCTGGGCTATAGTGTGAAACCCTTTCTATAGATAGATGGACAGACAGACAGACAGATAGACAGATGATTTGTTGAGACTGTTTGTTTACTTAAAACTGTAAAAGGGCTGTGGGCAATGGCAGCCCTTCACCCTCTCCTGTTCTTATTTTGAATGGGAAGAAACAGAGGCTCAGAGAGTAGAGGGGGTTGAAGAAGGACCCGACGGAATCTTTCAGATGGGGCCATGCCTCTCCTGAGAACCTGGCCATGCTCTATGTGACTTGGGGATATGTAGAGAATGCCCGCTCCTGGTGGGTCCACCCCTGACCTGCAGCCCGTGGTTTGCTGATGTTTGGGGGTAGGTCTGGTTTTGTTTCTCAGTCTGGGCAACAGGCATGGGTTCCAGAAGGCTGGAGGGACGAATCCTAGCATCAGGGAAATGTACATATTTGGAAACATTGAAAGAGCCGTCCTGGTGGCACAGATATGTAATCCTAACACTCCGGAGACTGAGCCAGGAGGGTTGCAAGTTCAAGGCCAGCCTCAGCAAGTTAAGAATGGCAACAGAATCAAAACCCTGCCTCTAAAAAAGAATTAAAATAGCACCCAGAGCATATATTTTATTCCTAATGGAGCTTAACTACCCTTAGTAGGGCAATACTAAGATGAACTATCATCCATCCCCACAATAGAATGTCATTCGACTGTTTAAAAAGGAGTGAGAATCCCTGTTGCTGAGGTCACCAAGCTTCCCTTTTATAAAAAGCAGATGGTAGATGTTGCTGGCTTGGCAGGCGATGAGGCCTCGGCAGTTAGCCCAGCTGTTCATCATGAAAGTAACCATAGATAATATTTAAAGAAATAAGGAGAGTTATGTTCTAATAAAACAGTATTTCAAAGATCTACAGGGCTGCTCATGTGGCTTGGTGGTAGAATAGTTAGATAGCATTCATGAGGCCCTGGACTTGATCCTAGCGTTGCAAAACACACACACTGGAGGCTGAACTGGGTCCTTGGGCCTTAGTTTGCTGACTTACAGAGGAGCAGCGAAGATAGACATCCACATCTTACTGCATGAATGGAAAATGATCTCCAGCATAGACCGTGGTATCCAATGCCCAGTGGGCAGAGTACTGCCCAGTGCTGTGAAAGGGAGGGAGGGCAGTGTGTGTGGACGCGAGCTTTCTCTGGCAGAATAAAGCAGACAACGCTGCCTCGGCAACAGACGTGAGGCTGGGAGGTAGGGGCGACCCCAAAATGTAGACTCGGAATCCTCTCATGCCTTTGGAATTTCCATCTAAGGAGCAGGTTATCTTTGCCCAGAGGAATTCAACCGAAAGTTCTCGGTCCCAACTGGTGTGGTATCCAGTTCCAGTTCCTTTTTGGTGGGCTCTATTTGACTTGATGCTAGCTCAGATTGACTTTGATGAACCTAGTTGATTGTGTAGTATTCAGTCATTTCCAGTGTGGTGGCTATTAGTCCAGCCCTGGACACACTAAGAGAGACAGAGACAGACAGACAGAGAGAGCAGGGAATTGGAGAGAGACAGAGAGACAGAGATGTGCTCTCAAATGAACCACCTTCCCAGCCTCCAGGTTTAAGTACTTAATGTCAGAAGTAAAAAAAAAAAAAAAAAAAAAGACTTCCAGCCTGCTGAGACCACTCTAATACCCAAACAACAGGAATAGGGGATACATCTGGAACGATAGTGGGAAAGCGGAGTGGGGTGGGGACAGGGTGGGGAGGAAGGACGTGATAGCAGAATTTGCCAGAAACCCAGAAACTGTCTCATCTCTCACAGGAAATCCAGCGACGACATGTGGGTGAGCAACGGGACCTACCTGGAACTGAGGAGAGACCTTGGCTTTTCCAAACTGGACCATCCCGTCTTGTGGTGAAAAAGTAAAGAAGAAAGATATGTTAATGTACTTCCCCACATTTGCTTCCGGAAGCAGCACACACCTGTGTCTGTATGTTTAAAAGGTAGTGTCTAGAACGATCCCTTGTTGCTTAGCTTAGCAATGTGAGCACTGAAGTATGTGTTTTCTTCAGTAAATTTCTCTACAATTTCAAGTATTATCATGATTGTTTATATGAATGTAGAACACCTCGGTATTTCCTTTTATATATAAACTATTTAATAAAAATGAAAGATTGAATGTTAATGTGTGGGTTTAAGAAAAAGAAGCTTTAACACTAATTTCCCAAAGGTGAGGGGGGACAGATCAAATTTATGCCTTATAAAAACCACACCGGAGAAAACAACCGTATCCCAGGTGCGTTAAGAATTAAGAACACCCAGGGTTGCTCACTCGTGCCCTAGCTCTCCAGGTTTAATTGGGAGCTGGAATATCTTTTTAACCCCAGACAGCTCTTGAATTGCTCAGACAGAACAATTCTGCTGGTGCTGAAGTACCAAGAATATTTTCATTTGCATTTTCGTGGTTAAGGCGTCTATGTAAGGTTAGCGGGATGCATATTTTTTATGTAAGTCGGGCATGGCCCATCTGGAAGAGGCCTTCTCTCCCTGTAGTTCTGTTGCCTTATATGCAAAACTCCCTTCCCTTAGAGAAGTTATACTAATCAGAGAGATCTCTAATAATTCAGTGTCCTGATGGCATCCTAGGGGGGCAGACGGCATCTCGTTTTTTTCTCAGTGAGAGCCGAATCCTTAAGGATTTAAGAAATCCACTTTTAGCTTCCTGCCCCACCCCGGGCTTCCAAGCCCACCTTTGACCCTGATTGAGGATGGAATGTCTCCCCTTTAGTACAAGACCTATGGTAAATGGCCTGCGACCTTCTGAAGCTTTAGTGAAGTCACTGGTGGTCTGAAATAACCTGACCCGTCCTTCTTCCGTGTGGCATTGGTATTTTCTACCTCTCGCTAAGCTCTGTACTTCTCAACCATGTGTCCACAGTTTGACCCTCTGCCTTATAGACCAACACCAAGCATTGCTGTTCTGTGTCATCCCGAGGAAGCCGCAAAGGTTTTACCTCTTCCTTCTACTCTCTTCTTGTTTAAACACTCTGAGGTCCCAGATAGGAGCTACCAAACGGAAACCATTGTTCCCATGTCTTATGTCACATTATGATAGCAGATTGTATGCAGTAGCTGAATTGTGTTAGCAAAACCATTTCGACTTCTGCCCAGAGCACATTAATACCAAAGCCTGATCGTTAAGCCTTTGACTTGAATGTCTGTAACAATTCTATGAAACATTGTGTGGAATGACAGGGTAAAGAACTTTCTATAGAAAGCATTTGAGGGGGCCTGTGAGACTGACTCAGCACGTAAAGGCACTTACTGTACAAGTCTGGCAGCCTTAGTGTGATGATCCCCAGGACCCACAGAAGAGGTGGAGGAGAGACCCGACCCCGTGGAGTTGACGTGTGTCACAGCAGATAGCCAACTGAACAGCACTGAGTTTTCACAGTGGAGTGTTGAAGGTGAATTGGTAGTCTTTGGCGTCTGTGAGTGACTGTCATTTTAAACAGCTCATGAAATATTGGTTCACTTATTCCATTTTATGGAGACATCAAGACGAACACAGTGGGAATCTCGTTTCCATTTCTAAGCAGCTGGGTGGTGCAGCTCAATTCTTTAGCTCCCGTTTCTTCTTCCTTTCCTATTAAAGCCTTATCCACATTCTGCTCACAGACATGAGGAAGCAGGCTGTAGGTTTTTACGGCTCTCAGTGGGGAAACAAATCTGCTGTACACAATGTGAGGATAAATGCGGAGTTTTAGTAATATTGACTGTTAAATAGACCTGCTCCGGAAGCTGACTCAAAGGAGACAGAAAAACAGCAGAAACAAAACCCCTAAAAATATACCACTGGAATGGGCATCACCTTGTGGTACCCGTTGTTTGCTAATTCTTAGATTTTCTTGTGGCGTGATTTCTGTTGATTTCAAGCTTTATTGTAGGATCCCACCAACAGCTGACCCAAATGTCACCTTGGTAGTCACCTTATTTGAACCAGGGACAGGAATGAACAAAACATGTTCCGGAACCATGTGTAATTTCTCCCCATCACTGCCAGTGTCTGGATGAGGGTTTCCCGAAATACACTTGATCTGGAGATGCAGCCTTGTATTCGAATCTTAAAACTCGCTGCAGGAGGGTGGAGGCTGCTGCGTTCCTTCTGTCCTGTCTAACACCCCCTTCCAACAAGTTTGTCTGTGTAAGACTTGCTTATTTTATAAGGAAAGCAGAACTGTGGTATTGCTGAGAAGAACTAAGGTGAAGGTTAAGTTTCTGAACTCTGACTTTCTCAAATACATAATACCAATCCCTGCTCCATTTGATATGACGCTTTCAGCCTCTCTCATCCTAGCTATGCTATTTCAAGTTAATAGCTTAGGTTACAGATGTTCTCCTGTCTATAGAACCTGTAGTGTTCCTCTTTTCAGTACTCATGACCCAAACTGCAGCGCATCATTAAGGAATGAGCATCTTCAGTATAACAAAGGAGAAGAGCAGTTTCCTCCACAGGCCCTTGGGTACCTGAAGGAGGATATTCCCTCTCCTCAAAGCCTCCAGGGAGCTTCTTCCTGCAGTTCATGCTCTGATGCTAGGATGCCAATGGTACTAATTAAACAGATGCAGTCCCCCTCCCAGACACAAGGGGGAGTCTGGTACTAACTAACTAGATGCAGTTCACTTCCAAGACACTAGGATGAGTCTGGTACTTACTAAACAGAAGCAGTTCCCCCTCCCACTCGTGAGGGGGAGTCTGGGACTAACAAAATAGATGCAGTTCACTTCTAAGACACTAGCGGGAGTCTGGTACTAGCTAAACAGATGCAGTGCACCTCTGAAACACTAGGGGGAGTCTGGGTACTAACTAAACAGATGCAGTGCACCTCTGAGACACTAGGGGGAGTCTGGTACTATACAGATATAATGTACCTCAGACTCAGGAGGGATCTGTATTAAATAGGTGGAGTTTCACCTTAGGATATCAATACAGTTACCTACTCAGTAGCAAGAATGCCTTAGCAGTTCCCCAGTCTTCCAGTGCAACTGGGGGGCTCGCTAAGGGAAAACTACAAAAACTGAGTCTTTTAATGTTTACTTCATTTAGGCTGATGTTTTCCTCATACCCTGTTTTTAACTACTTCCAATCAATCATTTGCTCAGCCTTCTAGTACTGTCCTTCATCTGCCCTTGTCAGATTTATGATGAGATGTTTTATTCTACCCAAGCCAAACATAGAGGCAAGGGTTACTGTGCTTTTTAAGGTAGGCTTACTGTGCACTACAAGCTCTGACTGTCTTCAGATCCTCTTAGCTACCTAAGAGCGATAAGTTGCTCTCGTGATTTTAGGAATAGCAGCTACAGTGTGTGGGCAGAATTTATCTGAATGTCTTTAGTTTTGATATCAACATCAGCATAAATCTATTTTTGCTAGCAGATTAAAGCTATTTTCGCGCGCTCACTTTTCTGTGTTGTATCGACCTGTGACTTGGAATTTATCTTTCTGTTGAAAGCCTACATATCGAACAATATCTGCAAATCATGATGGTCTACTACAGTGCAAGCCGGTTTTAAGGACTGGTTTTAGGGGATGTGGCCGTCAGAAATGACTACTCATTCATTTCATTCATGATTACTATTATTTTTTTTAATCTTCCTCTGTTACCCCCAGAGGACATGCTTTTGGGGGAAAAAATTGATACTTGTAAATCTTCTATGTGATCTTTTGTAAAGTCTAAGTCCTACCTTGCTGCCCATCCCTGTCTGGCTTCCCAGGAAGCCCCTTTCAGTCTGTTGTCCCTCCACCCCGGTGTGGCTCATTGACTGGGAATAAAGACTATAGTAACGACCACCTTTGTCTCTGTTTTTCCTGACTGTGGATAGTTGTGGTTGATGGAAGGGACAACACGATGCTTTCTAGAGTCTGTCTGGAGGAAAAAGCCTGCTCACCTAAAGGGACAGATCCTGAGGTACTGAGCTTGGGAAACCCTGGGTTGCCATAGTCTTCTACCCTGCATTTCCCAGTCACCCTCAGCTTTGGAATAGGCACTAGGCGCTCCAGTGAGGTCAACTCTAGTCCAAGGGTCCCTGCTCTGCTCACTTCCTGTGCTATAGAAATACCATTTCCTGTGTGTATAGTGTGAAGTGGAAGTGTGCTGATTACACCTATGTGGTCACACCAACAGTAGCCGATCCCTCTCTCCTATCCAAGTTACATTCCCGAACATTCACGGAACTTCACTTGATGCAAGTCGGTGTGTCCCAGCATCCTTCAGAATGACGTGGCGCTAAAGGAGCTCAACTTTTTAACATACTGGCTGCTGTTTGTGCATGCTGGTATCAAAGCATCAGGATGCCAACAACTGAGGAGACAGTTTCGGCATGCTCTCATACCCATAAAACCCTAGTGTTGGTGTAGTCACCGTCATCAGTGATGAGCAAGGCAGGACCATATCCCTGCATCCTTCTCATACACTTCACAGCAGAAGTCCTGCCAGGGAGCAGAGTCCAACCCAAGGAGTCAGAGGATTAAATGAAGCGTCCATAGCAAGATTAACCAGGCAGGAAGCCATTACTGCCTCAGTGGCAGCTCGAGTTCCCAAAATGGAGACACCATCAGAAGCGTGGTTTTGAGGTATGTGTGCTTTGCCAGACAACCTAGAGCAGGCTGGAAGAGCTATCCCTGCCTGGGTCTCACATCAACCACTCGTGTAATGGTTTTAATACGCTGAGGGGAGGCTCCTTAACTGCCATAATATAAACTCATAGACCGGAAAGATGCACTAATTAAGATGCTTAAATATGATTAAAGTCCTGGGAGTAATTTATACACATGTATGTGCATGCATGTGTATACACACACAGACACACAATTTCCCCCTGGGACTGGGACACAATTGTCTAAAATTGTCATGCTGCTAGGGACAAATTTCTTTCATAGATTCTATGTTTTATAATATCTTTGAAATTGAAAGTGGGGACTAGGTGACCTTAGATTTGAGCACGATGGAGTGTCTCTTTGTTGCCCAAGATGAACACTACAGGTGTGTGCTTCCGTGCCCAGCTATTTCTCGGGTGCTCTTCAAAAGGGCTGCACAGAAGGAGGCCCCAGCTGCTGCTGTGGTGGAGTCTTGGGGACACATTTATAGAGCAAGGAATGGTTCTAAACCAGACATTTCTCCACCTTCAGAAGCCACCCATCTGGTGGCAAGCTGGTAGGTAAGTCAGTCATCACCATGGACTCAGAAGGCGTTGTCACGCACATTGTCACCATGGATACAAGTCTCTGGGCACATCTGGGAAGGAAATTCTTGTCAGGTTAATTGAGGTAGGGAGAGGCACCTCGTTGTTGGCCGGGGTCTTGGACTGAGTGAAGGGGACACAGAGCTGAGCAGGAACAATCATCTCTCTAACTGTGACTGCAATGTGACTAGCCCTTGCTCCATGAACGTCCCCACCATGGTGAGCTGTACACTTAAACTATGAGTCAAAGCTTTATGGGAGTAGGGTCTTACCTTCTTCTACATGGATCCCAGAACTTGAACTCAGCAGCAAGTGTCTTTTTACCTGCTAAGCCATCTTGCCAGTCCCTCCTGCATGTCTTGATATGTGAAGTGACAGATGTTCTTATTTATTAGGACATTTTTTCCCAGGGGTGTTTTTTTTTTTCCAGCCTAAAGAACACCTGTGGTACCATTGACATGCACAGTCACATACACCATGTACTTCTAGTAGCAAAACACGATGTGGGACCTGAGACACTCGTGTCACAGGGAATGATACTTGCCGACCAGGCCTCCAGAGACTGGAAGATATTTATCGATAATGGATTATTCTGTGTTGTTCTCTCAATAAGGTGACATTTTCCTCCTCAAGGCCACACTAGTCCTCTCTACAGCGCCTCTCTAACCGTATCTGCCATTGGGTGCTTACTAACAACTTCCTTACCCAACTCTCTTGCTGCTTCCACTCCTTAGAGTTTCCGAGGCCTCATTTCCCTCAGCATGCCTTTCAACCAAATCTACAGATCTGCTCATCTTCACTCTTTCAGGAAAGGCTCACATTCAAATGGGCCAGGATGCTATGCAGGTCATCCCTGTAGCTTCTGGGAACATTGCAAACTGGGTCATCGGGCCGGTTCCAGCCCAGCAGCTGGAACCCAGGTGTAGGTGGAAGGTCACAATGTGACAAACCAATAAAGAAAGTAGTCCAACCTTGGGGCCCAACACCAAAAGCAAACAACTTGTCATGCTTTTTGCCCTGTTCTAACATTGAGTCCTGCTAACCAAAAGCCTCTGTGGGCTTGGATAACTGGTCAACCTATACCATCAAGCTGCCTTATTTGCTCTTAAAACTCTAAGGAGAGAGACTGGGTCCGGGGCTGTAGAGGAAAACCAAACAAGGCTTCCATCCTAACTGAGCCACTGCATTTGGGATTCTGTGTTTACGTCATCGTGCCCTGTCATATCAGTACAAACGCCTTTGGTCCAGAGAGCCTGCTGACGACATTTTCCTTGTGGTAGCCTGAGCTCAGTCAGGCTGCTCCCACCTGTTGTCTGGTCTCTCATGCTTGAAATCCAATTTCTCACTCTCAGCACAGGCTTTTATTTTTATGGGGTGTGTCTGTGTATCTGTGTAGCACATGTGTGCAGGTACCCATGAGATCAGAAAGGGTATCTCATCCGCTGGAGCTGGAGTTATAGGCAGTTGTGAGCCACCTAACAAAGGTGCTGGGAGCTGATTTCGGGTCCCCTGGAAGAGCAACAAGCACCCTTAACTACGAGCCATCTCGCTAGCCTCACAGTCTTTTAGAAAAAGCCTTTGAGGAGAACAGATGGGAAAAAGCTGGAGAAGATTCAAGACATAGCCATTTTTCTTTTTTAAAAAACCTCATAATATATATGTTCTTAAGAGAAAACGGAGTTCGACTTCTGAAATTTTCTGAACCAAAATAAGTGGGCACTGTCAGTTCCCTAGGACCTGTATCAAAGCCAGGAAGTTCACTTAGGCTTAGATGGATGCTGGGGTGTGTGTCAAGGGCGGCTCTGGGAAGCCACGTTCAGGTACTAACCAGGAAGAGTCTTGCTGGTTAGTGGATGAGCTAAGAGGCTAGCCCCAGAGCCAGTAAGCCCCCAGAAACCCGGCTGTTGCAAGTGAGTCCTCATCTAAGACAACTGGCTGTCTAATAAAAACCAAACAAACAACAAAACCAGGGTTGTCACCATGTAGTACGTAGGCATGTATGTAGGCAAAACACTCGAACACATAAAGTAGAAATAAGTAAATCCCTAGCAGAACAACAACAAATTAGAGTTCCAAAGAGTCTCTTCCGAAGTGGCTCTTCCCATCTTTGCTCTCTGAAGTGTCCCTAGAAAGCTGCCACTTGATTTGTGTGCTTTCGGGTCCAGATAATGTACAAGATCAGGCTTTGAAGCATCATAGAGATTCAAGAAAAAGGACAACTTATGTGGGCAACTTCAGATTCTCCATGGCTTTGCCTTTTTGTTTGGTTGATTAAAATACTTAGCAAGCTTCGCATTTATCCAAGAGTTTAACCTGGCAAAGAAACCAGCATGTTCTAGTCCAGGAAAGCTCCAGAACCCACAAACCGTTTATGGTAGATGTTCTTATTTGGTCACCGAGTTGTGAGGAAGCATGGTTAGTATTGTTTTTTGCCTTCTAAATGTCCCCCAAAGACCTCTGTTAGAGACTTGGTCCCCAGCCTATAGCACCAACAGGTCTTGCCCTTTGCCCCTGTTCCCTCTCCCCCTTGCTAAAAACCATAGATCACATTCCTAAAGCTAGTCCCCAAGGTCCATGCCCTTATTTGGCCACTGACTTATTCCTGAAAAAAAAAAAAAAAAAAAAAACACCAAGGTCCAACAATTAAAATTCATTCTCTGGCTAATCTGTCCGTCAGGATTTACCAGCCCACCCCTAGCAGAGACTCCCTGCTTTCCCTTACAAGCCGATTCCTACAAAAGCATCCTCCCTGGCTCTCTGGCTGGCTTGCGGCTACAGCTGCATTTGCAGACACTCTCCCAACTTGCCCCACTGGGGTAACAAACACCTTTGTGCTGAGAATCCGGTGTCTGGGTATGTCCTGTGCCAACTTGGGGGGCATCCTCCCTTATAAAGGGAGGCCTGTAGAAGGATGCTGAGTCACAGGGCCTAAGCCCTAGGTGATATCAAGACACCACACCCTCCGGCCCCTCTCCTGCCTGCTGCCTGGCTCTCAGGAGGTGACTGCTTCCCCTGGTACGTACCTCTCGTTCACTATGACATTCAGCTTTACCACAGGCCCGAGAGCTATGGGTTCAAGTGACCACGGGCTGAAATGGAAATCACGAGCCAGCATATTGCTCCTTGTCGCCTGTGCACCTCAGACAATCTTTTCACAGTCACAGGAAGAATAAATAATACAATTACCTTTTCGAGTAATCAGTTTCAATAATTATAAAATACTATAGTGATACAAAAAAAAATGGTTGCATTCACTAGTTTTAGAAACAGGAATTTTTACTGAGCATGGTGATGGTGGTACATACCTCCACAGGCTGAGGTTGGAGAATTGCCATGAATTTTGAGGCCAGCTTTAGCTACACATATAGTGATTAGCAGGTCAGCCTCGGGCCCATAGCAGAGCTGCTTCACAGAGCAAAAACAGGATAAGGAGCGGGAAAATTACGTGTCTGTCATCCCAGGAACCTGAGGTGCGGAGACCAGTAAAGTCCAATGCCAACCTGGGTGTGCTGGTGGCTTTGAATCAGTTTGCAGGAACTGGACTGGCCAGAGTGGACGCCAGTAAGGAACTGCCTCCTTCAGATGGGCCTGTGGGCAAG